CGATCGCTTAAGCGATTTATGGTCTCGCTTAAGCGATTCTTTGCTTTTACCTTTGGTCTCTTAAGCAATCAAGTCCGAGGCAGAATCAAGATCTACCCAGTTGCACGATCGCTTAAGCGATTTACGGTCTCGCTTAAGTGATTCTTCACTTTTACCCTTGGTCGCTTAAGTGATTCTGGATCGCTTAAGCGATTAAGTCCGATGCAGAATCAATATCTGCCCAAATGCACGATCGCTTAAGCGATTTATGTTATCACTTAAGCGATTCTTCGCTTTTACCCTTGGTCGCTTAAGCGATCAAGTCCAAGGCAGAATCAAGATCTGCCCAAGTGCACGATCGCTTAAGTGATTTATGTTTGCTTAAGCGATTCTTCGCTTTTACCCTTGGTCGCTTAATCGATACAAAATCGTTTTAGAGATCGAGTCTATGACAGCATAAACATCTGTCCAGATGCACGCTTAAGTGATTTATTTTCTCACTTAAGCGATCCTTTATGAAAACCCCTTTGTCGCTTGAGCAATATATGTAGTCGCTTATATATCGCTTAAGCGATCATGGGCAATACATATTTTTTCCAATTTTTCTCCTGAATTTTGACAAACTAAAATTACCAACACATATTAATTCCATACTTTCTCCTAAATTTGACAACCTAATTGCATCAACACATCAAGGCCATGTAACAAGAATACTAAATATAAAGGATGATTTATTCAAGGTAACAATAAAGTTTAAAACATAAAAAATTGAAAACAACAACTCTTCAACGGTTGGCCTTGGCAACTCTCTCGATTTCATCCTTCTTCAAACCTAATTTTCTGGATTTGCATGTGATTGATTCTGGCAATTGCTTCTCTTGTGGCTAGGTTGCTTGCAAATTGAGCACTTGTTCATCCTGCAAGGAACCTTAGAGGCTGATGGAATACGCTTAACTCTTTTTCTCTCATTTTCTTTCTTCTTGAATGGCAGATGGATGACAATGTCAGCCAACTTTGGTGGCACCACCCACTGCTCTTCTGGAGGAACTGGATATATCGTTTCTGAATAAGCCAACATGTAGTGATTTGCCATATAGAGAGGGGAGCAAAGTTCCATGTAAATTCTTGAACCATAATCTGGCTTCTGTTGGTGTTTCAATGTTGCTAGTGCATGAGGACAAGGTAAACGTTGAATGTTAAACACTTTATAGCTACAAGTTTTACTAACAAGGTTAACTAGGGCATCCGGACCATAGTCATGTGCGGTGAACTCTTGAGCATTAAGAGAATAGGCAAACAGTGCATTTGACAATTCCATATGTTCTCGCAATAATTTTTCAGTTGACGGAACAAGGGTTATAGTAAAATTATCTGACGCCGTACGACGCTCATAGAACCACCGTAACAATATCCTCTGGATTGCATCAAAAAGGGCAATTATTGGAAACTCTCTTTCTATTAACAACTTCGAATTTATGGACTCGACTATGTTTGTGGTTATGACATCAAACCTTCTTCTAGGAAAGTAAGCTCTACTCCATTGCTCGAAACCAACATCATGCTCAAGATACTTAGCAATTCTATCATCTTTGATTCGGATTTGTCGGAAGTGCTCCTCGAACTCATCAACTCGATAAGCTCTTGCTACCATGTAGTATGTCTAAAGGAGGCCAGCACGCTTAAACTTTTGTTTTATGTTCTCACCAAGGTGCCTCATACAGAATCTGTGATGTGCTTGAGGGTAAATAGTGAGAATCCCCTTCTTTATAGAGTTGTGCCTATCAGATATTAGGCACAACTCATACTGTCAGGCACTATCGCACGTAATTGCTGAAAAAACCAAATCCATGACTTATCATTCTCAGAGTCAACCACACACCATGCAACGGAATATGTGTGATTCTCATTGTCTTATGCAGTGGCCACCAACAATGTACCTCCATACTTTCCCGTCAAAAAGCAACCATCAACAGCCAACACCTTTCTCATGTTTACAAAACCCCTTATAGCAGAATCGTAAGCAACAAAAAAATATTTAAACATCATATTCTTCTCCCACTTCAAAGTCGTCTTGCTACCTTGATTTGTCAACTCAAGCATATAACGGTACGCTTCTAATACAGCGTACCTGTGCTCCAGCGTGCCCTTCACAAAATCTTGTGCATGTTGTCTTCCTTTCCAGTATTTCCAGTAACTAGCGGCACATCCCAACTCTATGCACACAAGTCTCTGAATGTCTTTAGGAGATAGACCTTTCTCTTCAACGAACTGACTTTTGACAAATTGTCCAATAACATCAGCAGAGGCTTGTCGATGCTCACCTAAAATATGTCCCAAACCATATGTGTGCTCACAGGTATATGTGCTAAGAATAAATTTTTCGGACTCCGCCAACCTTCTACAACAAACCCGCCACTTGCACTTTCGGTCACGACATGCAACCGTCACAACTGATGAATTAGACTTTTTGGTGATGAACTCAAAATTACCTCTCACGGCAACAAGTTTTAGCTTCCTCACCACTTCCTTTTTGTTGTCAAATAAATACCCTATGCGCAACTCTGATCCATCCATAAAAACATGAGCTGATTCAGTACTACCTGCAGTTGCCCCCTCTGAACCTACATAAAAGGACCATATTGTTCTCTTTCTCACAAACTACACCTTCTGCATAATCTGTATTTAAAGGAATCTCTATATCTGCGGGAACATGTACAGGGTCCTCCTTCCCAACATTTTCATTCTGTCGCACATGACCAACCTCTTCTACAGTGTCCTTCTCACCACCCAAATCACTGTCTACTCTTGATTTTTCAACTAACAAATCAATGCCCTCATAGTTCAAATTAAAACCAGCCAAATCTCTGCCAACTTCCTCGTTATCCCCTTCCTTTGAACCAATTTCCTCGTTATCCCCTTCCTTTGAACCAACTTCCAATTGCTTATCTACAAAAGAAACCCTTAAAATCGGCCTCGAACCATTATCGGCCACATCAATCATATATAACTTTACACCTTCATCCGACTTTAATATAGCAGGAGGTACCTTATAATGTTCAGGAACTCTGCTTAAAACATACTTAACAACTATGTCACTAAAAAAGCAACTCAAATCACCTCTTCTAATTATTTCATCAATCAACTCATCAAAACTAACCTCTGTGCTCACAGCAATTGGTATAACTTCTTTGCTTTTCCGAATCCACTTCCAACAACTTCCTTCCTCCACCCACTCATTAAAATATTCAACACCCAAAACAACTTGTCCCATGTCTAATAATAGCCAAGTACCTATAATGTAAGAAAAAAAAAGTATTATCAACTGATGTATTAAGGGTTGAAAGATTTTAAAAAGCATCTGCAGAGTTGCTTGAGCGATCTGGTATATCGTTTACTGGATCGCTTAAGCTATATAAGCGATCCGGTATAAATAAGTCTGATTGCTTAAGCGATCTTATGCTATTTACCTGATCGCTTAAGCGATATGTTGCCATACACCAGACTTAAAGCAAATCGTTTAAGCGATCTTCTGCCATATATCTGATCGCTTAAGCGATCTACAAACTGTTGTATTATACTAGACATACCAGATCGCTTAAGCGATCCATCATATCCATAACATATTTTCAGTCATCTCCACCTGTAATCGGTGCTACCACCCCCAGCTACCCACAATGCAAGAAAATATTCAACAAATTTCACTCATTTCAACTTCCATTACATCAAACACAACCCAACAACCTAAACAACTAAATCAAAATCATAACCCAAACTCAATTCATCATTAAATCTTTGTAAATCGAAATATAAAATGGAAAAGGAAGATACACATACTTGGACGAAATGTCAGCAGGAGGAGGAGGATGAGGAGGATCTCTGGCGGAGAAGATGTTAATGGCAGAGGAAGAAGATAGTGTTAATGGCAAGAAGAAGAAGAAGATGTATAGGACATAGGAAGAAGAAGATGTACAAGAAGAAGAAGATGTAGACGAAGCTTAGAAGAAACAACAACCAGGGGAGGGATGCGTCAATGTGGCGGGAGGAAGAAGAAGAAGGTGTTTGGGTTTGTTTGCAAGAACTTCGGCTCTTTGAGGACATATTATAATTTTTAAAAGATTACACAATATTTCATTAATCCTAATTAACTCCTAATCATGTTTAATTAATTTTAATCAATAACAAAGCTATTTACTTAACACTTTCAAACTACATAGGCTCCGTTTGGTTGGTTTTTAGGAATACTATTATTAGTATTCCCAAAAAAGTTAAACAGTAAAATGCCCAAAAACTCACAATATTATTCAACCATTTTTAAACCCGTTAAATTTGTTAATTTAATTAAATACCCCTAAATTTCTTTTTTCGAAATTGCAAAAACAATCCTAAACCCACATTATACCAGATTCCGGCCACCACCGCTGGAAGTTGGCCAGAATCTGGTAGGATAGCACACTACCGACTGGATCTTGTCGGTAGTGCACCGATCTATGTTGGCCGTCGTTGACGTCTGGTTACGGCCAAAGATCTGGTCGTCAACGGCCAAATCTTTGGCCTTAGATTTGGCCTTTTCCGGCCAGATCCACAATGGATTTGGCCGGAAAAGGCCAAATCTAAGGCCAANAGGAAGAAGAAGAAGGTGTTTGAGTTTGTTTGTAAGAATTTCGGCTCTTTAAGAACATATTATAATTTTTAAAAGATTACACAATATTTCATTAATCCTAATTAACTTCTAATCATGTTTAATTAATTTTAATCAATAACAAAGCTATTTACTTAACACTTTCAAACTACATAGCCTTTTAATTAAATTTGAACTCCATATAGCTTTATAATTAATACCTCAAATTTTGGGTGGATACCGGACCGGCCACCCCTTCTATTGTTAATGTTGCTGATTTACCATAGGTAACGGTAACGTAACGGTATCCTTAAATAATTGATCCAAATAATTGACGCGTGGTTTGCTAATTGGTCCGTCAAAATCTCTAACCGACCTACCACTACACTCCTCGGATGACTCTGTCTCTCTTTCTGGCTTACACGAACAAGAAGAAAAAACATAAAATAAAATAAAAAAACAAAATAAAATAAAAAAAATCAGTCAGAGAAGAAGGAAAATCAGGGAATAAACCCTAGAAAATCCAAACCGCTCAGAATCGGATCCGTACACGAATCACACAAACAAACAATAATTAATTTCTCAAATGGTGAAGAAGAAAGTGCCGGATTGGCTCAACAGTTCTCTCTGGTCCACCGCTCCTCCTCCGCCGGACGACGATCGCCTCCACCGCTACTCCACTAAGCCAATCGCCACCACCACGGTGGAGCCGCCGCCTGTTCCCGTCGCCGCTCCTCCTGCTCCAGCTCCTGCACCTCCTCCTCCAGCTCCTGCCGTCGTTTCAACAGTTCAAGAAGAGCCACCGAAGCCGCAAGTTATAATACACAATAGCGATAGTAACAACAATAACCATAGAAATGATGATGAAATTGACAATTCTGCCCAGGCTCAGCTCTTGCCGGAGGTCTTTTTCTGAACTTCTGTTTATGTTACTTCTTTAGTTTAAGTGTTTGTATGATTATTCTACAGTGGTAAACTAGTGATACTGTTATATTATGAATAATTCATTGATAGAAATTGAATTGGACGGTATTGATACTGGTACATAGAGGAATGGTAGACATTTTCATGTTTGTGAATATGTGGATGTGTGAATTTTTCAGCTGTCGAAGAAAGTGATAAATATGAGGGAATTGCGGAGGATAGCTTCACAGGGCATACCTGATGGTGGGGGCATTCGGTCGACTGTCTGGAAGGTGTTATTGATTTCTTTAGTTTTACTAGAAATGAATGCTACTGGTCTTTTGTAGAGTATGTTACAGTTAAACATTCAATTTTTGGCTAATATGAATGACTGTGACAGCTCTTACTGGGTTATTTACCCCCAGATCGTGGGCTTTGGTCATCTGAATTAGCTAAGAAGAGGTCTCAGTACAGGCATTTCAAAGAGGAGCTTTTGATGAATCCTGTAAGCAGTATTTGTGATTAGTTTTTAGTATTTCATTGTGGAGTTTGTTTTGGTGGTTTCTGAATGTTTCTGTGGCTAGTCAGTCAGAAATTACGAGGAAGTTGGAGAAATCTGAGAATGATGACCCCAAAAGTGAAAGTAGTGGTATGCTCTCGAGATCAGAAATTACTCATGGAGAGCATCCTTTGAGCCTTGGAAAGACCAGCATCTGGAATCAGTTCTTTCAGGTATCAAATTCACTGTGCTTTGGATTTAGTTTTCAATTTTGTGCTTGAAACATCAACTTGGTTTTATGTTTAAGAAATTAGCTATTCTGTCTCTGATTTATAAGAGGTTTTGAACACACGCATAACTCATGTTCACTCATGTAAATCAAAATGATATTCTATTTTTTGACAAAATAAGTTATATGTTTTTATCTGTGCTTGCTTTTGATTTGAGGCCAAACATGTTTTTACTATATGCATCATGTGTCTGCCTTATCCAGTGCAAATCTTAGTGACTTTTGGTGTTACAAAGTAATAAAACGATACAAGCAGGTGTATGCCCTTCTAATGAAATATCTTATTCCAACTTTTGGCTTTATGTAGGACACGGAAATCATGGAACAGATTGATCGAGATGTGAAGCGCACTCATCCAGACTTGCATTTTTTCTCTGGAGACTCACCTTCTGCAAAATCCAATCAGGTGCTCACTTGTTTTGGGATCAAAATTTCATGCAAGTACAACCCAGCTTGCTGACTTATATGTGTCTCTCATTTTCAGGAGGCTTTGAAGAGTATATTAACTGTCTTTGCAAAGTTAAATCCTGGTATTAGATATGTCCAAGGGATGAATGAAATCTTGGCACCTCTGTTCTATGTATTCAGAAATGATCCTGATGAGGAATTTGCGGTATGTATATTTCATTTCCTTCTTACTTTTAATTGTAATATGAAACATGTTTCTTTTTGCCTTTTAATAATTCTTTCCCTTTTGGGTGGGTTAAATAATTATGTTTCTCTGGTTTCAAAGTTTTGAATTTAAGCTTAATCTGGTCTAGTGTTGGATTAAAACAACAAATAGAACAATTTAAGTGTCCAACCATATAATTGAATGCTTGAATTCTAGTGAGTGTTCTTTTCATCACCATTTTGATTGAGTTACATAGAAGACTTCTAATTTCTACTACTCACTTGTGTATATAAAACAAATCTGCTTTAACAAAGAACAATTTGTTTGATTATTGATCTACTGAAAAGTCATCCTCGAATCTTCTTTTCATGGTTATAATTATGAGATCCATTTTGGAGTTAGGTTCTTAGGTGCACTTGGGACATATGACACTATATCTGACTTCATACAATAGAAATTTGGATTACACATGGACAAGTGAGTGCTCTATGGACATTTTAACGTTGGAGTACACGTATGAGCCTGGTGTCCTTACCCATAAAACTTTGAGCATACAAACTGAAAAGGATTACACATGGACGAGTGCTCTATTGGCATTTTAACTTTGGAGGGCCACATTAACCTGGTGTCTTTACATGTAACACTTTGTAGTCTGTGCAACATAGACATAGCACGAGTCGTCTATTGAGTGGTGAATTATTGTATGATGTATGTTGCTGACAATCTAAAGTTATTGCAACCATGCAATCTAAAAGAGTATTTGGTAATATTGTGGACACATCACTCTAATCTTGGTACGATGTGGTTGTGGGCATGAGGTTGATAGTCAACTTACATGAACATGGGTTAATCTGCCCTCCACCTTCTCCCTCTTTCTTTCCCATGTGAGTGGTGTTAGGGGATGGGCACATTTTTACTCGATCCGACCCAACTCGACTTGGGTTGTGTCGGGTTGATGGGTGAATCAGGTTACAATCTGGTTGATATATGCCAACCTGATTATATTGGGTCAGGTTCGTGTTGCACAGGAAAAATCGGGTCAACTCTACCTAACCCAATATTTTAAAAAATTTGACTTTTTATGAAAATGACACATTTATTGGTTACTAGTAAATGCTTACCACACATTCTCCCACACTAGATTAGTACTATAAAAGCTTTCTTTCCACTTCTTTCTCATTTGGTTAAACCCTAGATCTACTTTTTCTTTTCATCACCCATCTTCTTTCTTTTCTCCGGTGGTGCTCTTCTCTTTTCCATTGCCACCACTTATCTTCTCCACCACTGCCACTACCACAACAACCCACAGGATATCTTGTTGATTGGAAGCCACTTCTCTTCTTTTTTCTCCTTTTTTTTTTTTCCTAGAAAAAGTCTTTACTTTAATATTTATTGGGATGAAATGAAATATTCTTTTTCCTTGAGAAATATGTGGTTGGGTATTTGAAATATATATTTCAAAAGATTTGAGATGGAAAGTGGTTACAATGAAGATTAGTTTACTTTTAGTTTCCATAATTTTAATACATTATATATAAATTTGATTGCTTTCTTTAGTTTGTACTAATATTTTTTTAAATTTAAATTCATTATAAAGTGTAAAACATAAATACAAACAACAATAGCATGTATATAAAAAATGCAACGTATTTATTTATCAAAATAGCAAAAAAGAGTATAATGGGCTTAAGCCGAACTGAACTGACACCCGGTTAACCAGACCCAAACCCAGGAGATTGGGTTTCATTCGGGTGTTAGTATCGAGTTGAGTTGGGTTCATTTTCATTGGACTTGATTTGTATCAGGTCGGATCAGGTTTGGTCAAACCCGACCCAAACCCAAAAGTGCCCACCCCTTAAGTGGTGTGTTATGTTTAGCAAGCCATGGGCTCATAAGAAACTATTCAATGCCAAATTAGGGATTCCTGGTCGCCTAAAGGAAGTAGATCCAACAAATACCCTTTTGTGTGTTAGCATTGAGGCAACCTCTTAGCAAAGATCAAGAGATGGTTACCTGCATGAACAGTTGTACAAACTTTTGAGTTTCTAAAACCATATGAAGCTTATGATAAGTGGGAAACGTGTATGAAACCAAAGTACTGGCCGTTAGTAGCAAGTAGCAACTATATCTAAGAGTAGATCAATTCTCAAAAGTGCACCTTAATCATTTTTGTGGCTGATTCGAATAGGATTCTTGGTCACCTGAAGGAAAGTTGATCCTACACATACCCTTTTGTGCGAAAACATTGAGGCAACCTCTTAGCAAAGATTAAGGGATGTTTACCCATTTGAACACTTGTACAATTAAGCCTATGATCAGTGGGAAATTTATATGAAACCAAAGTACTGGCAATTAGTAGCGATTGTATCTAAGAGTATCTATCTTTTGTTTAAAAGTGCATCCTCTTTATACAAAAAGCATCAATGAGATAGATGGAAAATACTTGCACTATATTGTTATGATGATAATGTGTTGTAGATAATTGCAAGAAATATAAAACAATATGGACTAAAACAAATAAAATGAATGATAATGAACTCAGATAAATTAGATGAAGAATAGAAGGGCTAAGATGCTTTTTTTATTTATGAGAATTTTGCACAATTCGATACATCAACATTGCAACGGAAATAGGTTTATATAGCCTACTTGCCACCCATCTTAACAAATGAAGTGTTGCCAAGATTTTGGCTACTTGAAGTGAATATCAATTGGCATTCCACCTAGTGACATGTTTTATTGGGTAATGACGTGTATAACACTAATCCTAATGGTGGAAAGACGTATTTATGGTGGAAAACCACTCAAGATTTTGCAAAACTTCGCTTTGGATTTCTATCATTTATAGAATTTGCATTTGACCTGACTTAAGAGAAATCCATTGGGACAAAAACCTAAGCAAAGAAATGCAATTATTTGATGAACTGTAGAAAGGTGTTGAACGTGCTTAATAATGTCTCCTTAAAACCTTGTCAGGAAAACTCAATGGACAAAACTCGTCAAGGGAAAAAGAGTATAGTGCACATACATCCAGTATTATAGTTTGCTCCAAAATTCACTCCACATGATCAGTGCTCCCTCATAATGGAAATATTGACTTCGTTGCTTACTAAACTGTTGCATATTGGTGCCATACACTAAGTAAGGTCAAATGCAATTTCTGTAACTGGGGGAAATACAAGGGGAAGTGTTATAAAACCTTGAGGTGGCTTTCCACCATAAATACATGTGTCTTCCTACAATTAGGATTGGTGTTATACACATGTCAATACCAAATGACACGTCACTAGATGGAATGTCAATTGATATTCACTTGCCAAGTGACCAAATTCTTGGTAACATTTCATTTGTTAAGATGTGTGACAAGTAGGCTATATAAACCCATCCCCCTTGCAATGTTGATGTGTTGAATCGTGAGAAATTCTAATGAGTAGAAAATAGAATCTTAGCCTTTTTATTCTTTATTAATTTAATCCGAGTTTATTATCTTTCATCTATTTAGGTTTAGTCATTATTTTATATTACTTGCAATTATCTACGTTATCATTGACAACAAGATCTTGTTGATCCTAACATATGTAAGTAGATCTAAGAAGTTTTGAGACCTTTGTACCTGCTTTATTTTTTGTAGTGTAGAATATACCTTCGTACAAAATAACATTGAGGCAATCTCCTAGCAAAGTTAATGAGTTTATATTCGTACGCCCTGTGAAGACCTTGGAGATCAAGTCCATGGTCACAAGGAAAACTTGTGTCAAACCAAGCTGGAAGTTTACTAGTAGAACTGTATAAGAGAATTGACTTTTGTATATAAAAAAAAAAAAAAAAAAAATTCTCTCCCTTTTATAAAAGAAATATAGAGAAAGAAAATCCATGTGTTGTGATTTTATGATAGGGGTAATGTTTGTTTTTAGAAGGGTTAGGTATGATAGAGGTGAGAAAGATAGAAGAAAAAGATTAGATTTTTATTTATTTATTTATTTTAATAGGGAGATGGTTTAGGGTGGGTTGTTCCTTTTATTTTTTTGGGATTGGACAATTATACCGTTTGACTGTAAATATTAACCGTTGACTCCCTTAAATGTGGATGCTATCTTCCTATTTCCCAAACCAAGGGTTTTTACTGCTAATTCATGAAACATCTGGGGGTCGACTGTTATTACCTCTTTTTATGATATTATGTGAAAAGAATGTTTTGGGACCTTTATACTCGCATTACTTTGATCCAATGCTAACCAATTCATATTCATAGTGTGTTATTTCAATAATGTTACTTTCTTATTGGTCCCTGAAACATTATAAGGTGGCTTATGGTTATTTCAATGATGTTACTTTCTTGCTGGTACACGAAAAATTATTAGTGGCTTGTGGTCATTGGAGATAATATGAATTTTCAGTATCAATTATTTGAGTATCCTCTGCCAAATTGTAATGTCTTATTTTTACATTGCTTTTTTGTTTTTTAAGAGTTCTTCTCCCAAGAGATTTAGCAGGAACTGGAAATTTGACACACATAATAGTTAAAAGAGCTAGTACTATTAAAGATACTAGTATATAGATATCTTAATTCTTTTCAAGCATTTATTTTGTGTCGTGGAATAATGCTGAACAACTTTCACAAATATTTTGGTGCAAGACAATAGATAATAGCAATGAGAATATTGTAGATCAAATTTTTTTGTCATGAATTTGTTATCAATAGTTCTCGTGCTATCATGATTTATCATGCTTTTGTTTTCATTTTGTTTGTCATTTAAAATAATCAAGTCATGCAGGCCTCAAATTTATTGTTTTCCTGAACTTATTATTAAGATTTATGATGCTGCCTTGATTTATGCATACTTTTAGTTTCATTTGTTTATCATTTTCCATATTTAAGTCATGCAGGCCTCTGCAGAAGCAGACACATTCTTTTGCTTTGTTGAGTTGTTGAGTGGATTTCGGGATCATTTTTGTCAGCAACTTGACAACAGTGTGGTTGGAATCAGATCCACAATCACAAAGTTGTCGCAGCTTCTAAAAGAACATGATGAAGAGCTTTGGCGTCACCTTGAGGTCACAACCAAAGTAAGACAATTTGAAAAATTAAGAATTTGTTGCATTTTAATATGAATGATCTTATGTTTTCTTAATCTTTTTTCTTGTTTAACATATTTACAGTATCTGTATAGATGTGTATCAAACTGACAATATGGTGGAGCACACTTGGAAATCATAATACCTTGTGGTTAGAAATATTATCCAATTTACATGACAAAGAACCATTCTGTTCACAGTTCATAGTCATGTACTTTATGTTAGAATTAGTTTTGGCTTGATTGGGCTTTACCGTGGTATCCAGAGTTCCAGACCTATCATGCTTGTACTTTACTCATAATGTTTTAGTTTCGAATTCATGAGGTCTCCCTAAGTGTATGCTTGCGGCATGGTTTATGAGTTGGATTTTACTAGTGATATGAGCTTGTCTCTGTTATTAGCTTTCAAATTTAAGCTTCATTCTGTTCTTATTTCATTATCCATTACTTAAATCTCTTTACTGTGACTAGATATCCTTAGAGGCCAAGGATAGTTAAAGAGAAGCAGGACGCTCTGATATGAGCTTTTATCATTTTCAAGACATTTCAGTGAATGTTTTGTTTTAGTCTATTAATTCTTTTCAGATGCCTCACTGATGTATTAAAATTTGACAGGTCAACCCCCAATTTTATGCATTTAGGTGGATTACTCTCCTCTTGACTCAGGAGTTCAATTTCGCAGACAGCCTTCACATTTGGGACACACTTCTGAGCGACCCTGAAGGCCCACTGGTAGGATTAAATTTCTTTTGTTTGTATTCTTATGTTAAGTTTGTTCATTTTAAGATGATAGAAAGATTCTGTATCCTTGAGTGCCAAAAAATAGCCTCTGGAACTAGTAATAGTACCCCTGAGAGTGCGAATGTCCCATAGGAGCTTAAAGACAAACCATAATCATATATTTTATTTCTATGGCTACATTGGTGTGAAGCCTTGTGATAATTTTAACTACGTTGCATGTTTGAAAACAACATCCTTACTAAGATAATTGTATAATAGATGATGTGATCAGATTTGTATGCAAACATTTAATTAAGTGTCCTAGAAAAATAAATTTTGATAGTTTTGGATTATTGGGTGGATATGCGTAGCCTGTCTATGTTCTCTGAAATTACTTCAGACACGGCTGAGATTCCTAGAACTACTTATAGATTTGCTTTCTCTTGAATGTTAAATGCTGCTGTTGATTTCGAATTCAGTTTTGAAATTCTCTGGATCCAATTACTCCAACTCCTTTCGGGTTAATCACCTACTCTCTCTCTCTCTCTCTCTCTCTCTCTCTCTCTCTCTCTCTCTAAACTGAAGCAGCAGTGTGGGCTTCCCTTATTTACTTTACTTCAACAAAGAAAATTTTACTGTCTAATGCTGCCCTGGGGTTAGGTTTCTTATTTTGACTGTATGATATCATGGAGCATCATTATGTGCGGTTGCTAGAGGATGTGGTTTCTTAATTCTCAGCTTAAGAATAACTCAAAATCTAACAAAGTTCCAACATTCATACTGCAGGAGACTCTGCTCCGGATATCCTGCGCAATGCTAATTCTCATAAGAAGGCGATTGCTTGCAGGGGATTTTACTTCAAATCTGAAGCTACTCCAGAATTATCCACCAACAAACATAAGCCATCTACTCTATGTTGCAAACAAGTTGCGGACTCGTTCCACAGTCTAATTTTGTTAGAACTCCTTCCCTTGTTCCATTTTGCAATTTTCCCTTCTTTGCATATTTTTGTTATTACGCATTTAATGTTTGTAAATTACTGGATGTAAATGTTGTTGAAAGTTATCGGCTAACATGCAGGGATAATTGTCTTTGTTTTATCTTACATTCATTAATTGTTTCCTTGTTGGAACTGACATTTGTTTTAAATTCAAGATTGGTGGGAATTTGGTTTACCTTGTGAAAATTTTCAAATGTTATATACTGTAATTATATTATGTTTGATATAAGTTAATCTATTTAGCGCACTTCCTTTTTGGTGTGAAGTCAAATTCTCAAGTGATATTGTAGCCGAAACCTAAAATCAGTTCATACTCCAAATTGGTTTGGTCAATTATGTATAAAGTTCATGCTCCAAATGTGTTAGGTTAATTATGAATATACATAAGTAAAAATCACCAAACAAGACTTAAATGTCACATTCAGGAATTGCAAACTATTTAAAAGACTAGCTTATATTATATGTTGTTTATTTATCCACCTTTATAAATCCAAAATCTAACTTACGTCCAAAAGGCGTGGCATTGCAATAGTAAGCAGAATTAAATTGAATTTCAAGAGATATAGAGAATAGAGAGTAACAATCATGATAGGAAGCAATTTTTGCACGTTCAAAGGTTGAAGCATGGAAAAATTGCAAGTCAATTTGTGATTACCCTACGAGTTCCCAAACAAGTGTCATCCTCGTAATTTTTTCAACAAATTTGTTCAATTAAATCAAAATTCTTGTACAACATATTTTGCTTCGTGCGTGTATTTACATGTCCCCACTAGACCTGGCCAAGGACCGATCCTAATTGGGTTTAGGTCTGGGCTTAAGATTGGTCCCAACAAGATGGGACTAGTCACTCATGGGCCTGGGATCGGTCTCAGGGCCATGAGAAATTTCAGGGCCTAGACCAGTCTTGGGCTCATTGGACCGATCCCATAGGCTTGAAAATTTTTTTCCACCCCCCAACTTTTTTTTTATATTTGGGGTTAAAATAAATTATGTAGGGGAGTTTATATAATTTTTAGGGGCCTGGAAAATTTTTACACCCCTATATTAGTAAATTTTGTTAAATATCAATTTAACCCTCAATATTTTTGTCAATTTTAAAATTACAAGAGGTTTTTAGATATTTTTCAAATGACTTTTTTAAAAAATGCAAAGGGGTTTGGACCCAAGCATTGTTTTAAATACCGGACCGGAGAGGAACCCGCTTTACTGGTCGGGTCACAGTTCAACCAGTCCAACCGGTTGGACTGATGATGTCATCACACTTAACTGAATTGTCATTTGAAGAGTACATGTATTTTCTTTTGTGTTAATTAATTTACAAGGATTTCAATTTTAAGTCCCAAAGCCCTTAGAGTTCGAATCATGTTGGCTGTAAATACAGAATATTAATCAAAAATAAAATTAGACAATTTTAAACTTAACTGAATTGTCATTCAGGCAAAAATATTTGTCAACTCATCAATTTCCAAGAAGTTGATTTTCTTTTCGTTTATAATAGCAATTAGATATAATATTTCAACAAAACTTAACTGGACAGTGGACATATAAGATACTGATCAACATTAGATAAGAGAATTCAACTTTTATTGTAATTTCGTTTGAATAAAACATTAAAACTATCTGTCAACCCATCAATTTAGAGTAGGAAATTGATTTTCTTTTGGTTTATAAAGCTGAACTATCTGTCAACCTATCAATTTAGAGAATGATAAGCCACTCAGTAAAAATTTCTTGAATCATCGGAATCAAGTCAAGTTGTATTCTTGCTATGTCATCATGCAACATACTGTCCTCATAACTCATAAGTCCTTATTCGGTTATTCCATCCACAAACATACAATAGAAGTAAAACATAAACATTTAGATTCAAGTAAGACGTGTTTATAACCTGGAAATACAAATACATAATCTGGAAATACATGCACATACAATAAGTACTTAGCAACAAACATACCACAAAATCAATTGATAGTTGTACATAAAATAACTCAGTAAAGTTTGCAACGAAATCATTATTGAAGCTGGATCGAGGAATGGCGTGTTTATAACCTGGATCGAAGAACGGAGTTGTCGTCAATAAATGGAGCTGTCGCCGTCGATTTCCAGCGAAGAACGAAGCTTTCGTCGTCGATTTCTGGCGAGGGAGGAAGACGTCGTCGATTTCTGACAAGGGAGGAAGACGTTGTCGTCAATTTTAGAGAATTCAGTTGCGATTTCAGACTTCGATGAGTGGAGTTGATTGCAATTTGAGTGGAATTTCAGTTCAGAGAGAAATTTTCGTAGAGAACAGAGAAGAAACTAAGAAATTTTCGCAGAGAAGAGAAGAAGCTCAGAAATTTTTAAAGAGAATTAGAGAAACCGAGACTGAGAAGAAGATGAGAAACAGAGAGGGCTGTGATGCGATTGCGTATTAGGGATTTTAAAATTTCGACCGGTTTTCGAACCGACGGTTCGTTGATTTTATCTGGTTTTCAAGCGGTTTAATGCATTATAGCAGTTTTGGGGTTGACTCGAACCGGACAAGTGACCGGTTCCTAGTCTAGCTAGTTGGACCGACAGGTCCGATCCGGCTTTTAAAACAATGGTCCCAAGCCCAGACCTTGGAGGGCCCAATCTAGGGACCGATCCCTCCTCCATGGGCCTGGTCCGAGTTTGGGACTAGTCCTCGTAGGACCGATCCTTGTGAGGACCAGTCCTAGGACCAGTTTTTTGGACCGGTTTTTTGGAACTGGTCCCAAATGCCCAAGTCTAGTCCCCACGTATATCCTTCCTCATAAACCCTTTGAGGAATTGTACATTATGACATTCTGGCTTCTCATTTTCATCGTTATTCATGCCCCATTTTGCTCCCTCTTAAAAATAAAATTCTCATCACGCAATTTGTTTCAACCGGAACTTCCTAGACCAAATACATCTTAGCGACAATTAAAACTAAATACTGAGTCAAATATTTTTCTCTAGCTGTAACAATATATAGTTCAATAAATTGACAGTTCGATGTTATCAAAAACTCTACTTTGATAACATTATCAATCTGGACTTTTACATCTCACCGTATACTATGATCCGTATTTTGGTCAGCCAAGACAGCAATTGTCTTAGTAAGAGCACAATCAGTCAGTATATAGTTCTCTTCCGAAAAAGTTAAAAAAAAAAAAAAAAACAGAAAAAGAAAAAGAAAAAGAAATGAAGTAAATTCTAAGCAATAAAGCATTAATTCACAGGCAAATTTTTTATACATGCACAAATTATAATGTATTCTGGACCGCGTATTAGTGTAGAAGATTGCCTTATTTGTCTAACTGATGCCATTGATCCAGTCCCCGGATAATATGAGTCTGCAGAGCACAAATAATTTTCACTCATTCATCCATTAAGATCAACAAAAACATTAGAAAAATTGTAGATATCAGAGTTTACAATGAATGGCGCAAATTTTAAGTGAAAAAGAAAAAATTGAATTAAAATATGAACCCAAATAAATTATATCTCTCTAGCAATATAAAAAGATTCTTTCATCAAAGAGAAATAACCAACTCAAACCAACAATTTAAAGCAAAATCGTATAGCTGATATAATTCTTTGAATGATCACTAGCTCCAAAGGAACCAGAGGCATCCTATAAGACCTCAATACGATGGGTAAATGTTAAAGTGCAATAATAAGAATCAAAACAGTCCAAACATATTTCGATTGAAGCACCAATAAAATACGTGACAAACATTATCAAGGTCAGGAAATTGAAAAACCTGCTCTTTTACTAGAAGGAATAAATTGTCAAAGAAGAATGAGAACAAAGCATGAATTTTGAGGTTTGTCATTCGAAAGAAGATGATGAAAATAATTAATGAGAGAGAAACATAGAGTGCCAACTGAGAAATGAATTATCTAACTGCAGGGCAATAAAAGCGTTGGATAAAATGAAGAAATCTAAAAGGATTACGTATGCTTAAATTGTAAAACATGATCCCAGTCAAGGGAAGGCTAATATCCACAGAATCCAAACGATGCAACAAACATGGTGTATAGTTAGAGAAGAAATGGCCAGCCATTTTGAGCCATTAAATCATTATCTCAACAAACACAAATATTCCATCTCATTTATACAGTCACCTAAAGAGTCTGTCTATCACTATGAATTATTTAGTAGTTCTCAACTTGAAGATATTTCAAACAATCCATTAAATAAGTTTCATTTCCTTTTCTCAATTTTTCCACGCTTTGGATGAAGAAATTCTGACCTTCACTCAAACACTATTTGACTCAATGTCTTGTGGTCCATCCAAATTTTCTATACGGCTATTATTCCTGAGGTAGTTAAGTTATCAAGTTTCATCTTCAACTTTCTTTACAATTTCAGAATCATATTCAATTTACTGGTCACAACAATTTTTTTAATTTATTATTTTTTTGGATAAGACATTGTCCAGCTATATTAAAGAAAAAATCATAGGTACAACAATGAACTAGATATCTACAAAGAGAGCACCATATCAGAGAACAGGTAGCAAATCTATACAAGTAAAATGACAAAAATGCTGTCAAAGATAATTTTTCCATCCCTGTGGAAAGGAAACCAAACCATACAAAATTAACCCAAAGCCCCTACCCAATTTAGATGTATAAAGAAAAAAGAAGAGCACTTGCCAATTAGCTAAACCAATTTACTGCTATAGCAAATTAAAATCTCAGATATGAAACTTACCTTGAAGATCAATTAAAACCATTCCTTTCTCCATTTTCATGGGTCAGGCTCATTACCCATTTGCAAACCAACTTCTAAGAGCATACGAAAATTCTTATCTTTATGCAACAGATGTTGTCAGGTTTGATTGCAAGTCACTTGTCAGTTCACTCTCCAACTGGCTACTTAAAATATCCAGCACGTTATTTGGAGGGCATTGGTCAGCAGGGTTCTGTGCTGACATTTGACAGAAACATTCAGGCCAGGAATTTGTATAAAAAGATTCTGGAGGGACACGCTTGTGAGGTCCACCAAAGTTGGTTTTCAGCATGACACGCCTAACAGCTTCTTCAAAGCCAGAAGTCCTCCCATTCTCCCGATCAATGAAAATTGGAGCAAGACCTTTCCTGTCAGGTCTGAGTGTAGTCCGGAAGCCATAATAGAGGCGATGACCCAGAAGATTGTTGGCAAAGTTACTAGGTCCATCATATGTTGGCATGAAAATGTCAGAGAGCAGACAAACCATGTAATCTACAGCGGACCCTATCAATCCCTGGGTGTTAGCAGCTAGCTCCTCTGAGGAATCCACAGAACTGTGATTCTCAAGGTGAGGGAACAGCGATCTGAATGGTTTCATGAATCGCTCCCCACCAAATAGTTCACCAGCCGCTAGGTATATCCTGGTAGAATTATCAAACCCCATAGCACGTAGGATAAGGCCAACCTGCAAAGTGAAGAAAGTTAAGAGCCAAAAAGAAAAGTTACATATTGCATGATTTGTTAATATTGAAAAATAAAATATGCATAAGACTGACAAAGAAGCAGTCACCCTGGAGTTGACAATCTTTTATAACCTTAATGAACTCAATTACTCATAGTTAACTACAAATATAAAAAATAATAATAACCAACACATAAGCGGCAATGGAAAACAAGAAAAAAATCACCTCTTCTGGAGTTAATGGGCATTTTCCTATGGCCCTTCTTTCTTTGTAAACAAGTCTTTTTTCAGCAAAATTTTCTTTTCGATACTTCTTCAATACTTCCTGCTCTTTCGGGGAAAATATATCAAAGCACCTGTAAATCATCCATATCATGTACATCAATCTCTCTTTGTGTAACCTTGATGTATTATTTTTTGTAAACATAGCTTGATCCTTCATAGATAAAAGATAGAATAGTCCCTATAATCCCATAAATATTTATAAGTGTTAATCACTGAACAACAATTGAGTAATTATTCATCCACCCCCAAAAACGAACCCCTCATATTTTGCCAAGGAACAGGAGAAACTTAAAGGATCTAATTTATATGACTTTTACAATCATTCCTTCTTATAAAAGGACTGAATCTTTTTATGATTCTTATATTAGCAATTTAACAATTTATTTGTGTTAACACAGACACATTGCCATATGTTGCCTGGTTTTTGAAATTTGTGATGTTCAAGTGTCTGAGTCATGCAGCTTCTGTCCTCCAGTCCTTACCTGTGTTTCAGAGTTGTAAACTACAAGAGCAATTACATCAATATATCTTAAATGTCTAATCCTCAAGTGTTGCCTCTGCTGTTGCAAATACTAGTTGAAAGAATAAGATTATGAAATAAAAACGTACCCAGCAAACGCTAGCATATCCATCTCAAAACGAAGATGTATCGATATGAAATGACCTTGAGCACGAAGTTTATCGACTATTGACTCGCTCAACTTCATAATATGTGGCTTGAACCTTAAAGCGTGATAGTTAACTCTGCACCTCAGTCGCTGATACTCAGGGTTGTCAATTTCTTCAGCTAAACGATGGGAAAAGGGAGTCAAATAAATAGCACCATGTTCCTTCATCTTTTTTAGAGCTTCTGTTGTATACCAACTGATAGGAGCATCTCTAGGTGGCCGAAGCTGAGTCCACAAGTAAAAAGATAAATAAAAAAGTTCAAAGTTCAAAATATTTCCAGGATAAAAAATAACTAGCAGATTTAACATCATGGATGCAATAATAACTTACAGCAATAATCTACCTGATAAGCTTTTATTTTCTTCTTTTTCCCATTTTTGTGAATTTCTGGTATGCTTTCCACAATTCGTACATCAAACCTCAGAGTGTGAATAAAATGCTCAACATCATAGATACCCTGGAAACCGCTGTAGATAACAAAATAGTGTGACTACAGAATTATCCCATGAGATCAACTATAAAATAATATATCAGAAGTAAAATCATCTTCAAAGAGCATCTCACAAATAGTTGAAAAAAGGTATGCTCAGGGAAAATGTATCTTCTGTGATCCTTTGTAAAGCATGTGAACGATTAATACTCTTTTGATGGAAGGCCAGTATCATAACAAACAAGTGCATAGTAAAGAAACAAACTGCAGCTCATTGCTAGTTCAAGTTTTAAGATAACAAATAGCAAAGGCATACACCTTAAGTGCTTTAACTGATAAGAAGAATAAGTACAAAAAATGTTACCCACAATTAAAAAAAAAAAAAAATTACTGATATGATTGCCATGGATTACAAAAGGAGGATATGATGCTATTAACTTAAATGATCCCTATATTAAGTTTTAAAGTTGCATTTTGAACATAAAAGGTGCAATATGATGCTCTGTAAAACTATTGGAAACTGTATATCACAATTCAATATATTTTATTTTCTGTGTAACATGTTTGATTCAAGGCTTGAAACCTATATTAAACAGAAACAGCACTTATAATCAACAGTAATTATGCAGAAGAAGCTTTTAAAACTTTCCAAAGCATCATTTGGAAGAATCAAGGTCACAACTTATAACCATAAGCCAGTCCTTGAATAATGAGCAGATCTCAGAAAAGTATTCATGTTTAAGCCTCTTGACCAAGATCAAGTGCAGTATTCTCATACAATTTCATAATAGGATGACACGCTTACATATATAATATGACCATATCTTATCACAACTATATATACAAGCCAGTCCTTAAACATTGAGGTGCACATCTCACAAATGACGTGAAACATAAGTTTCATGCTTGAGCCTCTTCACCAAGATTAAGTGCAATATTCTCACACAATTTATAATAGGATGAGAATTTACATTTACATATATGAAATGAGCATATCTCATCATAACTATATGTACAAGGATCATAAAAGAACAAGATTCACTAAAGTTGAGCTCTAATGGCTTTCAAGCAATACGTTATGCATCTAAGCCAAAAAATATAATGTTCAGATCACAAACAATATTTTAATTAAATAAATATGTAACATAATTGCAAAGCAGGAGATCTCTATTAAGAAACTGAAAACCTATGATGTAAACCAGTAAGATATTTAACACCACCAGAAAAATAAATGAGAGAACAGGCCAAGAACATGATACCTGTCATCATGCCAAAACGAGTTAGCGTCCAACTCAGGCAGCACAAGTGTAGCGTTCATGATTCGGGCAGCAAGAACCGCATTACAGATCTACAACATTCATAAGAATATATGTTAATTACAAAAAATTAACTCCATCAATATATAAGGAAAAAGAAATCCATCAAACTATTGGAATGATATCTTAGTGATGATAAATTCATTTAGATCACTTGGTATTTTTTTAGGAATGTACTATAGTTACATTGACAACCATTAATCTCTCTCTTTCTTGATAAGGAAATGTTTATCTCTATTTCACAATCATAATCCATGATATACTTTATGAAATAATAGATACAAACCGCACTACGTTGTTGATTTAGACCACCATTACAGCGAACACGCAGATAGCCATTGGTCTCTTTGGGAGAAGCTACACAATGTAAAAGGGCATAAGACAAAAATTGAAAATCCAAAATCTCTAAAATCTATAGATCAAAGTAGACATATTTTCTTCTTGAGAAACAGAAAAACACCTACGGGGCCAGTCAGATCTTGGAGCAGAGGACGGCCTCCAACCGCCAGAATTAGCACTTTCCCAAAGTTCTTCTACATTGATCTGCTTAAACATGGCAAATAAAATTATGAACATAAGCTGGAACAGTCAATAATGATAAGCAACCACTAAAAAATGAAAAGTTTTTCACAAATATCCAACTTCCTCTGACTATACTATTATCCATATTTCAAGAAATATAATAGATAATAATTCATAACTCAATCAAATATTGAAGCCAAAGGAAAATCTGGTGGAGGCCCGCAGCGATATTGAAGTGCAAATTGTTCGTTTGACTTGGGCATAGGTGTACAATTTTAACATTCAACATACAACTTCGTGTAATCAGTATCTTACTAACTATACTCGTATTCAACCATTAGGCTAGGTTATAGAATTATTAGCATTCATATTTTCAGTCCTAAGAATTAAAAATAACTGGGATTCTCAGGGGATGGAACAGCGATCTGAATGGTTTCATGAATCGCTCCCCACCAAATAGTTCACCAGCCGCTAGTATATCCTGGTAAATTATCAACCCCATAGCACGTAGGATAAGGCCAACCTGCAAAGTGAAGAAAGTTAAGAGCCAAAAAGAAAGTTACATATTGCATGATTTGTTATATTGAAAAATAAAATATGCATAAGACTGACAAAGAAGCAGTCACCCTGGAGTTGACAATCTTTTTAACCTTAATGAACTCAATTACTCATAGTTAACTACAAATATAAAATATAATAATAACCAACACATAAGCGGCAATGGAAAACAAGAAAAAAATCACCTCTTCTGGAGTTAATGGGCATTTTCCTATGGCCCTTCTTTCTTTGTAAACAATCTTTTTTCAGCAAAATTTTCTTTTCGATACTTCTTCAATACTTCCTGCTCTTTCGGGAAAATATCAAAGCACCTGTAAATCATCCATATCATGTACATCAATCTCTCTTTGTGTAACCTTGATGTATTTTTTTGTAAACATAACTTGATCCTTCATAGATAAAAGATAGAATAGTCCCTATAATCCCATAAATATTTATAATGTGTTAATCACTGAACAACAATTGAGTAATTATTCATCCACCCCCAAAACGAACCCCTCATATTTTGCCAAGGAACAGGAGAAACTTAAAGGATCTAATTTATATGACTTTTACAATCATTCCTTCTATAAAAGGACTGAATCTTTTATGATTCTTATATTAGCAATTTAACAATTTATTTGTGTTAACACAGACACATTGCCATATGTTGCCTGGTTTTTGAAATTTGTGATGTTCAAGTGTCTGAGTCATGCAGCTTCTGTCCTCCAGTCCTTACCTGTGTTTCAGAGTTGTAAACTACAAGAGCAATTACATCGATATATCTTAAATGTCTAATCCTCAAGTGTTGCCTCTGCTGTTGCAAATACTAGTTGAAAGAATAGATTATGAATAAAAACGTACCCAGCAAACGCTAGCATATCCATCTCAAAACGAAGATGTATCGATATGAAATGACCTTGAGCACGAAGTTTATCGACTATTGACTCGCTCAACTTCATAATATGTGGCTTGAACCTTAAAGCGTGATAGTTAACTCTGCACCTCAGTCGCTGATACTCAGGGTTGTCAATTTCTTCAGCTAAACGATGGAAAAGGGAGTCAAATAAATAGCACCATGTTCCTTCAATAAACCCTTTGAGGAATTGTACATTATGACATTCTGGCTTCTCATTTTCATCGTTATTCATGCCCCATTTTGCTCCCTCTTAAAAATAAAATTCTCATCACGCAATTTGTTTCAACCGGAACTTCCTAGACCAAATACATCTTAGCGACAGTTAAAACTAAATACTGAGTCAAATATTTTTCTCTAGCTGTAACAATATGTAGTTCAATAAATTGACAGTTCAATGTTATCAAAAACTCTACTTTGATAACATTATCAATCCGGACTTTTACATCTCACCCTATACTATGATCCGTATTTTGGTCAGCCAAGACAGCAATTGTCTTAGTAAGAGCACAACCAGTCAGTATATAGTTCTCTTCCGAAAAAGTTAAAAAAAAAAAAAAAAACAGAAAAAGAAAAAGAAAAAGAAATGAAGTAAATTCTAAGCAATAAAGCATTAATTCACAGGCAAATTTTTTATACATGCACAAATTATAATGTATTCTGGACCGCGTATTAGTGTAGAAGATTGCCTTATTTGTCTAACTGATGCCATTGATCCAGTCCCCGGATAATATGAGTCTGCAGAGCACAAATAATTTTCACTCATTCATCCATTAAGATCAACAAAAACATTAGAAAAATTGTAGATATCAGAGTTTACAATGAATGGCGCAAATTTTAAGTGAAAAAGAAAAAATTGAATTAAAATATGAACCCAAATAAATTATATCTCTCTAGCAATATAAAAAGATTCTTTCATCAAAGAGAAATAACCAACTCAAACCAACAATTTAAAGCAAAATCGTATAGCTGATATAATTCTTTGAATGATCACTAGCTCCAAAGGAACCAGAGGCATCCTATAAGACCTCAATACGATGGGTAAATGTTAAAGTGCAATAATAAGAATCAAAACAGTCCAAACATATTTCGATTGAAGCACCAATAAAATACGTGACAAACATTATCAAGGTCAGGAAATTGAAAAACCTGCTCTTTTACTAGAAGGAATAAATTGTCAAAGAAGAATGAGAACAAAGCATGAATTTTGAGGTTTGTCATTCGAAAGAAGATGATGAAAATAATTAATGAGAGAGAAACATAGAGTGCCAACTGAGAAATGAATTATCTAACTGCAGGGCAATAAAAGCGTTGGATAAAATGAAGAAATCTAAAAGGATTACGTATGCTTAAATTGTAAAACATGATCCCAGTCAAGGGAAGGCTAATATCCACAGAATCCAAACGATGCAACAAACATGGTGTATAGTTAGAGAAGAAATGGCCAGCCATTTTGAGCCATTAAATCATTATCTCAACAAACACAAATATTCCATCTCATTTATACAGTCACCTAAAGAGTCTGTCTATCACTATGAATTATTTAGTAGTTCTCAACTTGAAGATATTTCAAACAATCCATTAAATAAGTTTCATTTCCTTTTCTCAATTTTTCCACGCTTTGGATGAAGAAATTCTGACCTTCACTCAAACACTATTTGACTCAATGTCTTGTGGTCCATCCAAATTTTCTATACGGCTATTATTCCTGAGGTAGTTAAGTTATCAAGTTTCATCTTCAACTTTCTTTACAATTTCAGAATCATATTCAATTTACTGGTCACAACAATTTTTTTAATTTATTATTTTTTTGGATAAGACATTGTCCAGCTATATTAAAGAAAAAATCATAGGTACAACAATGAACTAGATATCTACAAAGAGAGCACCATATCAGAGAACAGGTAGCAAATCTATACAAGTAAAATGACAAAAATGCTGTCAAAGATAATTTTTCCATCCCTGTGGAAAGGAAACCAAACCATACAAAATTAACCCAAAGCCCCTACCCAATTTAGATGTATAAAGAAAAAAGAAGAGCACTTGCCAATTAGCTAAACCAATTTACTGCTATAGCAAATTAAAATCTCAGATATGAAACTTACCTTGAAGATCAATTAAAACCATTCCTTTCTCCATTTTCATGGGTCAGGCTCATTACCCATTTGCAAACCAACTTCTAAGAGCATACGAAAATTCTTATCTTTATGCAACAGATGTTGTCAGGTTTGATTGCAAGTCACTTGTCAGTTCACTCTCCAACTGGCTACTTAAAATATCCAGCACGTTATTTGGAGGGCATTGGTCAGCAGGGTTCTGTGCTGACATTTGACAGAAACATTCAGGCCAGGAATTTGTATAAAAAGATTCTGGAGGGACACGCTTGTGAGGTCCACCAAAGTTGGTTTTCAGCATGACACGCCTAACAGCTTCTTCAAAGCCAGAAGTCCTCCCATTCTCCCGATCAATGAAAATTGGAGCAAGACCTTTCCTGTCAGGTCTGAGTGTAGTCCGGAAGCCATAATAGAGGCGATGACCCAGAAGATTGTTGGCAAAGTTACTAGGTCCATCATATGTTGGCATGAAAATGTCAGAGAGCAGACAAACCATGTAATCTACAGCGGACCCTATCAATCCCTGGGTGTTAGCAGCTAGCTCCTCTGAGGAATCCACAGAACTGTGATTCTCAAGGTGAGGGAACAGCGATCTGAATGGTTTCATGAATCGCTCCCCACCAAATAGTTCACCAGCCGCTAGGTATATCCTGGTAGAATTATCAAACCCCATAGCACGTAGGATAAGGCCAACCTGCAAAGTGAAGAAAGTTAAGAGCCAAAAAGAAAAGTTACATATTGCATGATTTGTTAATATTGAAAAATAAAATATGCATAAGACTGACAAAGAAGCAGTCACCCTGGAGTTGACAATCTTTTATAACCTTAATGAACTCAATTACTCATAGTTAACTACAAATATAAAAAATAATAATAACCAACACATAAGCGGCAATGGAAAACAAGAAAAAAATCACCTCTTCTGGAGTTAATGGGCATTTTCCTATGGCCCTTCTTTCTTTGTAAACAAGTCTTTTTTCAGCAAAATTTTCTTT